TTCTTGGCAGAATGGGGTTGGACTGGATGGCCCATGAGGTCTCTTCCAACTCTTTGATTCAATGATTCTATGCTTCTCGCAGCTAGATGGCCATCTGTCAAGAGGGATTGGATTGTGTCTTCCTCATTCTTTGCATGCTTGCTGGAGATTTTTATAGCATCGTATATTAGCAGTAGCTAAATTTCCTACTTGACAGATGCAACTGTCTTTCGGGCCGCAAAGGTCAACAGCAAGCTACACAAATTGGTCGGAAACTCACTCCGACCCGGGCTGGCTTCGAACTCATGACCTTTTGGTCAGTAGTGGTCTTAATGGCAGAATGGGGTTGGAATGGATGTTCCTTGGGGGTGTCTTCCAACTCTAGGATTCTATGACTATTTTGTCCCTCTTGGGATGCATCTGCACTGTAGATTTAATGCAGTTTGATACCACTTTAACCGCACACAGTGCTATGTAATCCCTGGAACTGTAGACTTGCTTTGGGAAGACATCATGCAAAACTATGATTGAGATCCAACCCATAAGTGATCATTTCATCCCATTCCATCTTTGCCAATCTGCAAATCCATATTTTACCATCATAATTACCTTTGGGACCAAACCTTCCTTCTTCCCCTTTGATTTAAAACACCAGCATACATTATGCAAAATGTAGAAAAAATTTATGCAAATTGAAGCCACACAAACAATGTATAAACAGCACAACACTCTGTGGCAGACTATCTGTCTCTCTTCTGCAGCACAAGCCCTTCTTTCTGCTTTGGGCGCCAAAAAACTACAACTCCCGGCGGCCCCTGCGGCTCAGGGAGGTCACGTGAGCCTGGATCATGTGACCTACAGGTAGGGGAGCTGCGGAAAAGCAGCTGGATCCCAATTCTTTGCTGTCTTTCTGCAGAGGAGGCGAAGGCGGTTGGCTGCAACTGGGTAAGGGCTACCTAATTGTCTTGGGGCTGCTGGGAGTTGAAGTCCCCAAGGCTTCCAAAGCAGTTAGTGAATTAAATGCTTCTAGGTGGTTTTAGCCCTCTCTTTGAACTATATTTCAGTGGTGATTTGATTGTTTATTATTATTATTATTTACATCCTAAAGAGGAGCAAGGCAGCTAACTGTGTTTGATAAATTAAATTAAATTTATATATATATATATATATATATATA